TGAACTGTTCGAACTTTCGTGAAACAAAATCGTACATCGATCCAGTTGATCTAATTTTCAAGCGTGAAAGCCTCCCTTCTGCTGCACCAGTCCAGAGTTTCTCTTTCCCAAAGACGTATTTTCCACATCGTGCAGCAGGTGGAGCAAGCAAGCGACACATTCGTCGACGAAAATCGTAGAAATTTAAATGCCTTGGAAATCAGTGGGGAAATGTTCACCGTAATCTCGAAACTTGCTGCACGATCGTCTGCCGCCATTTTGTTTGACAAAAATTCAAGAAGTACAGCAAGTTTCAAGAGATCGTTGTAAGGAACAGGCATCGATCTTCAAGATTTTTTTTTAACGTTTTCAGAAGCACTTGAATTTTTACAATTTTCTACTTGCTACATCTTTGGTAAACATCTTTGGAACAAGGCTCCGTCAAACTGGAGGCTTTATACTTTGAAACAGTGCCAAACTGGATTGTTGTATTGATTACTTTTTTTTTCTTTTTACAAAGTTACAACAGTTTCAAACGTAGACAATTTTTCATCGAACGCTTTCGTCCGCCTCTGTACAAACAACACCATCGGTGCTTCACTCATTTTTACTGTTTACCCCATTGGCATGGTTAACCAACGTTCAAAGCAGGCGAACGAAAGAGAGTGTACTCGAAAGCGTGTTTCCGATTGCTGCAAATATGTCACAGCGATGGAAAACAGGTCAGTGTGATCGGAGTCGGGCAACAGCAACGGCGCAACTTACGCCATCGCGAAACTGTAACTCGTTTAAAAGTAACCATAGCTTTTATAACTGATTTACCGACGTTATAATTGTGGCCAATCAGAAAACGAGAATCGCCGGGCGAGCTACGCGAAAAATTCCATCTCGTTCGTGCCGCTCTTTCCCTTGCCTCTCGGCAAGTGCTTTTGAACAATGAACGACCTTTTCTCAAAGACGTGCATCATTCCTTTGCTCTAATTAATTTCTATCGAGAACAATGCCTGGCGATCGATTTTCTCATACGATACTCTTCTTCGCGATTTGTACTGCTCCATCGGAACTGCGAGAAGCAGCGCGATTTTTCAATGTTATTTTCGCGCGTTACAACAGAAATGACGAATCATTTGTTCAACAGTTTTTTTCTTTCTTCTCCTTTGCGTTTCGTACAACTGACAGACTGAAAATCAGATTGACGTAGATATCCAAATAAATTTTCAACAATTTGAAAACTTATGTACAAATGGTATTTCCGTCCGTTTCATCAGCTTGAAGAAAAAGTGACAAATACACGACACAGTGTTTTGAAAAAAAAAA